CCCCCCCGGCCACTTTATTACTGTACACAGAATTGTACAATCACCCCACACACACTTTTCCACAGAAGCCACTGAATAGAGATCACAGAATCATGAGAAAGGAGGCTGCAGTGCTACCCCAAGAAGTGCTTTGAAAACCCTGCTGAGTCTGGCTGCAGCGGATTGTATTGGGGTTAGGGTGATCAGGGTGGACTTTGATTTTAGCACAGCTGCAGTGTTTACTGAATGGAATTGGTAATTCAATGATGTAATTTGTTGCCCTTTGTGGATCCTTGTTAAGCCGTATGGCTGCTATAGGTGCCTCAGATCCCCGTATGGTAAAACAGGTCCAGAGAAATTTTGTGCTCTGCTCTAAAATTGGCTGAATCCTGGAACTCGCTAAAACCAAGATCAAAACATTTTGGGTTATTACCAAATAGAATTCTATTTATTGTTCATGTTTGTAATAAAATGTATATTGTCCTCCTAGATCCGTCCTCTGTCCACCCAGCACAGAAACTTCTGCTTTCTATGTTTTTTATTGATTTTACTATACAAAGTGCACGTAGCCCCTCCCCCCAGAAGGAAGGACAGTGTCAGATGATTGGAGGATCTACAGCCGAGTGACACACAAATCAGATACATTGTTGTTCAGAGTTCGGGGACTCGGAGGGATTTATAAGATTTAAAGGAGAACTACGAGGTCAGGTCTTTTCCCCATAGTTCTCCTTTAGGGTAACAGGAGGACACAAACTAGCGTCCTCCCGTCACCCTAGGCTCAGTATATAGGGAGCTACAGCTCGCGGTATACTGAGACGCCGGAGGGGATCCCGACGTAGATGACGGGATCCGCTCAGCTGTGTGACTGAAAGCTGGCTCTGCCTATCTAGAGGCAGAGCCAGCTGTACCCGCCCCCTCCCCCGTCCGTTCCGCCAGTCAGCGCTGGAGGAGCGGGGAGGGAGGAGGAATCCCTGCAGAGGGCTGTGACACGACCGAGAAGTGAGTGAACGCCGGTATGTGTTCCCTCACTTCCCGATCTACTGAGCCGACCTGTGACAGTCTCATTGTCACACGTCGGCTAGAACTATGAGGTGAGTGGGCGGAGATTCGAGATATTCGCAGCGGGTGGGGATTCGAGATATTCGCTGTGGGCGGAGATTAGATATTCGCAGCGGGTGGGGATTCGAGATATTCGCTGTGGGCGGAGATTAGATATTCGCAGCGGGTGGGGATTCGAGATATTCGCTGTGGGCGGAGATTAGATATTCGCAGCGGGTGGGGATTTGAGATATTCGCAGTGGGTGGAGATTAGAGATATTCACAGTGGGCGGAGATTAGAGATATTTGCAGTGGGCGGAAATTAGAGATATTCGCAGTGGGTGGAGTTTAGAAATATTCGCAGTGGGCGGGGATTAGAAATATTCGCAGTGGGTGGAGATTAATGATATTCGCAGTGGGCGGAGATTAGAAATATTCGCAGTGGGCACAGATTAATGATATTCGCAGTGGGCGGAGATTAGAGATATTCGCGATGGGCGGAGATTAGAGATATTCGCGATGGGCGGAGATTAGAGATATTCGCGATGGGCGGAGATTAGAGATATTCGCGATGGGCGGAGATTAGAGATATTCGCGATGGGCGGAGATTAGAGATATTCGCGATGGGCGGAGATTAGAGATATTCGCGATGGGCGGAGATTAGAGATATTCGCGATGGGCGGAGATTAGAGATATTCGCGATGGGCGGAGATTAGAGATATTCGCGATGGGCGGAGATTAGAGATATTCGCGATGGGCGGAGATTAGAGATATTCGCGATGGGCGGAGATTAGAGATATTCGCGATGGGCGGAGATTAGAGATATTCGCGATGGGCGGAGATTAGAGATATTCGCGATGGGCGGAGATTAGAGATATTCGCGATGGGCGGAGATTAGAGATATTCGCGATGGGCGGAGATTAGAGATATTCGCGATGGGCGGAGATTAGAGATATTCGCGATGGGCGGAGATTAGAGATATTCGCGATGGGCGGAGATTAGAGATATTCGCGATGGGCGGAGATTAGAGATATTCGCGATGGGCGGAGATTAGAGATATTCGCGATGGGCGGAGATTAGAGATATTCGCGATGGGCGGAGATTAGAGATATTCGCGATGGGCGGAGATTAGAGATATTCGCGATGGGCGGAGATTAGAGATATTCGCGATGGGCGGAGATTAGAGATATTCGCGATGGGCGGAGATTAGAGATATTCGCGATGGGCGGAGATTAGAGATATTCGCGATGGGCGGAGATTAGAGATATTCGCGATGGGCGGAGATTAGAGATATTCGCGATGGGCGGAGATTAGAGATATTCGCGATGGGCGGAGATTAGAGATATTCGCGATGGGCGGAGATTAGAGATATTCGCGATGGGCGGAGATTAGAGATATTCGCGATGGGCGGAGATTAGAGATATTCGCGATGGGCGGAGATTAGAGATATTCGCGATGGGCGGAGATTAGAGATATTCGCGATGGGCGGAGATTAGAGATATTCGCGATGGGCGGAGATTAGAGATATTCGCGATGGGCGGAGATTAGAGATATTCGCGATGGGCGGAGATTAGAGATATTCGCGATGGGCGGAGATTAGAGATATTCGCGATGGGCGGAGATTAGAGATATTCGCGATGGGCGGAGATTAGAGATATTCGCGATGGGCGGAGATTAGAGATATTCGCGATGGGCGGAGATTAGAGATATTCGCGATGGGCGGAGATTAGAGATATTCGCGATGGGCGGAGATTAGAGATATTCGCGATGGGCGGAGATTAGAGATATTCGCGATGGGCGGAGATTAGAGATATTCGCGATGGGCGGAGATTAGAGATATTCGCGATGGGCGGAGATTAGAGATATTCGCGATGGGCGGAGATTAGAGATATTCGCGATGGGCGGAGATTAGAGATATTCGCGATGGGCGGAGATTAGAGATATTCGCGATGGGCGGAGATTAGAGATATTCGCGATGGGCGGAGATTAGAGATATTCGCAGTGGGCGGAGATTAATGATATTCGCAGTGGGTGGAGCTTAGTGAAAATCGCAGCGGGTGGAGATTAGAGATATTCGCAGCGGGTGGAGATTAGAGATATTCGCAGCGGGTGGAGTTTAGTGAAAATCGCAGCGGTTGGAGATTAGAGATATTCGCAGTGGGTGGAGATTAGAGATATTCGCAGCGGGTGGAGTTTAGTGAAAATCGCAGCGGTTGGAGATTAGAGATATTCGCAGTGGGTGGAGATTAGAGATATTCGCAGCGGGTGGAGATTAGAGATATTCGCAGTGGAGATTAGAGATATTTGCAGTGGGTGGAGATTAGAGATATTCGCAGTGGGCGGAGATTAGAGATATTCGCAGTGGGCGGAGATTAGAGATATTCGCAGTGGGCGGAGATTAGAGATATTCACAGTGAGCGGAGATTAGACATATTCACAGTGGGCGGAGATTCGAGATATTCGCAGCAGGTGGGGATTCGAGATATTCGCAATGGGCGGAGATTCGCAATGGCCGGAGATTCGAGATATTTGCAATGGGCGAAGATTAGAGATATTGTCAGTGGGCGGAGATTACAGATATTCGCTGTGGGCGGAGATAAGAGTTATTCGCTGTGGGCGGAGATAAGAGATATTCGGAGTGGGCGGAGAATTTGTTCATTCACAAGGTTGACACGTTATCAACTTTGGATTGTAGAACTTTATTTACACTTTTCCTGATTTACATACAAATAAGACGTCATCCCGACCTACTGTGTGCCCTCCCCCCCCCACCCCTCTCCATCTACACGGACATTATATCTTTGGGGGCGGAGCTGCAACATTGCTCTATTTAATGTTGTTACAATGTGTCAGAGCCCAGAGTGCAGGGGACACACCTCACTAGGGGCGGGGTCAGGACGCAGACCTCACTATGGGTGGAGTCAGCACACAGATCTCACTATGGGCGGAGTCAGGATAAACGGACCTCATTATAGGCGGAGTCAGGACTGACAGAACTCGTTATAGGCGGAGTCAGACCTCGGTATGGGTGAACGATCTGCTACTAGTGTTACTTGTCCGGTCCCGTTAGATTTCTGTGCTTCCGGGGGGTAAACACAGGTGCAGAACAGCGGAGCTTCTTCTAGAGGGGCCGGACAGTCTTGACTCTTTAGCTCGCTCAGAGCTCCGCCCCTTAATCCGGAAGTGATTCCAACGTGTGATTAGTTTGTTTCCGGTGCATCATTTCCGGTAGAGAGAGCGGAAGCCGGTACCGGGAAGGATGAAGCGAAGAAGGAGAGAACGGAGGACCGAAGAGGGGAGGAGGTAAGAAGAGAACTACAATTCCCAGCATGCTCTGCCACAGAGAGAGAGAGGGACTTCAGCTCCCAGCATGCTCAGAGTTAGGGGCTGTGACTCCTAGCATGTTTTCCTACAGAAGAGAGTCAGGGAATATAGCACCCAACATGTCATTCCACACTGACAGAGAGATGAACTATAACTCCCAGCATGCACTGCCACAGAGAGAAAGGGAGTGACTACAACTTCCAGCATCCTCCGCAACAAAAGTATAACACCCAGCTTTCCGTGCACAGAGAGTGTGGGACTATAACTCTCAGCATGCCCTGTCAGGTCTTATATGTTTCCGTGTGTCTTCCATGTGTGCCTGGAGTGATCTGTGTCTGGCATGTTCCGTGCCATGTGTGCTTGCTCTGTGCCCCATGTGTTTTCCGTGTCGTGTGCTCTGTGCCCGCTGTGTTCCGTGTCGTGTGCTCTGTGCCCGCTGTGTTCTCTTGTCATGTGTGCCCGCTGTGTTCTCTGTCATGTGTGCTGTGTGCCCACTGTGTTCCGTGGCATGTGTGCCTGCTGTGTTCCGTGTCATGTGTGCCCTACTACAACTTCCAGCATCCTCCGCAACAAAAGTAGAACACCCAGCTTTCCGTGCACAGAGAGTGTGGGACTATAACTCTCAGCATGCCCTGTCAGGTCTTATATGTTTCCGTGTGTCTTCCATGTGTGCCTGGAGTGATCTGTGTCTGGCATGTTCCGTGCCATGTGTGCTTGCTCTGTGCCCCATGTGTTTTCCGTGTCGTGTGCTCTGTGCCCGCTGTGTTCCGTGTCGTGTGCTCTGTGCCCGCTGTGTTCCGTGTCGTGTGCTCTGTGCCCGCTGTGTTCTCTTGTCATGTGTGCCCGCTGTGTTCTCTGTCATGTGTGCTGTGTGCCCACTGTGTTCCGTGTCATGTGTGCCCGCTGTGTTCCGTGTCATGTGTGCCCGCTGTGTTCCGCGTCATGTGTGCCCGCTGTGTTCCGCGTCATGTGTGCCCGCTGTGTTCCGCGTCATGTGTGCTCTCCGTGTGCCTGCTGTGTTTCGTGTCATGTGTGTCTGCTGTGTTCCGTGTCATGTGTGCTCTGTGCCCTGCGTGTATTCCGTGTCATGTGTGCTCTCCTTGTGTTCCATGCCATGTGTGTTCTCCTTGTGCCTGATGTGTTCCGTGTCATGTGTGCTCTGTGCCTGGCGTGTTTTCCGTGTCATGTGTGCTCTCTCACTGGCTGCACTGCATTGGTGGGAGGTGTCAGATTTATTTTGTCTTTCTCGCAGATAATCAGTCATGGATCCTCTGGACACGATGCTGAGCGACCCCCTGGATCTGGGGCCCGGCGTGGACAACCATGGGGCCCCCATCATGGAGGAGTGTTTGCTGGGAGGAACCAGAGTCGGCCTTCCCGAGGACCTTCTGGAGGATGTGAGTGTCGGTGCTGAGAGTCTGGAAGGAGAGCAGATCATTCATGTGAAGCCAGAACTTTTATTTATAGTTGTGGACGGATTGGGGGTTGGGCCCCTGTCAGGGTTCATCGCCATGCAAAACCTAAAGAAAGAAAGGTTTTGTCTCCACATCCTCAGTACAGACTCCTGTAGACTTTGTGGATCTCGTGGTTGGGGTTCCTGTTCTTGCCCCCCCCTCCCCCTCCTATATCTCTCTGTCGGGTCACCTTGCGGATCTCGTGGTTCCTGTTCTTGCTCCTCCTCCTATATCTCCCTGTCGGGTCACCTTGTGGATCTCGTGGTTCCTGTTCTTGCTCCTCCTCCTATATCTCCCTGTCGGGTCACCTTGTGGATCTCGTGGTTCCTGTTCTTGCTCCTCCTCCTATATCTCCCTGTCGGGTCACCTTGTGGATCTCGTGGTTCCTGTTCTTGCTCCTCCTCCTATATCTCCCTGTCGGGTCACCTTGTGGATCTCGTGGTTCCTGTTCTTGCTCCTCCTCCTATATCTCCCTGTCGGGTCACCTTGTGGCTCTCACGGTTGGGGTTCCTGTTCTTGCCCCCCCTCCTATATCTCTCTCTGTCGGGTCATTTTGTGAATCTCATGGTTGGGGTGGGTTCCTGTTCTTGCCCCCTCCACCCCCCTCTATATCTCCCTGTTAGGTCACCTTGTGGTTGGGGTTCCTGTTCTTGCCCCCCCTCCTATATCTCTCTGTTGGGTCACCTTGTGGATCTCGTGGTTCCTGTTCTTGCCCCCCCTCCTATATCTCTATGTCGGGTCACTTTGTGGATCTCATGGTTGGGGTGGGTTCCTGTTCTTGCCCCCCCCCTCTATATCTCCCTGTCGGGTCACTTTGTGGATCTTGTAGTTAGGGGTTCCTGTTCTTGCCCCTCCCCCTCTATATCTCTCTGATCACTTTGTCCCTCTTCCTCCCTCCAGCCGGATCTGTTCTTCGATGTGGTCAGTATGAACACGTGGCAGAACGTCCTCTCCGACTCTCAGCGGGAACATCTCAGGCAGTTCCTTCCGTCCTTCCCGGAGGACAACACTCGGCAGCAGGATGACATCATCCAGGCTCTTTTCCGGGGAGACAACTTCCGATTCAGCAACCCGCTGCAGACTGCGCAGAAGCTCTTCAGAGGTGAGTCTCCTCGCCACGCCAGTTCTTCCTCCACCGGCTGATCACCTTCTCAATGGGCAACTCATGGAAACTCTCCGTCATCAGCCACCTTGTCAGTGTTCTCATAAAATGTATCTAAAGCCAAAACTTTTCGTCATGGAGATGTGAAGCGTTAGAAGAGTTCAAGTCAGTCAGGGACTGCGGACCTGGTACAGGAGGCGGTCAGGGACTGCAGGCCTGGTAGAGGAGACGGTCAGGGACTGCAGGCCTGGTAGAGGAGACGGTCAGGGACTGCGGACCTGGTAGAGGAGACGGTCAGGGACTGCGCGCCTGGTAGAGGAGACGGTCAGGGACTGCGCGCCTGGTAGAGGAGACGGTCAGGGACTGCGCGCCTGGTAGAGGAGACATGGACGATATTCTTACATTTTAGTGGCGAATTTAGACGGTCAGGGACTGCGCGCCTGGTAGAGGAGACGGTCAGGGACTGCGGACCTGGTAGAGGAGACGGTCAGGGACTGCGCGCCTGGTAGAGGAGACGGTCAGGGACTGCGCGCCTGGTAGAGGAGACGGTCAGGGACTGCCCCACGCTCTCTCCCATGATGGACTATAATCTTACATTTAGTTTACTAATTTGTATTGAGATTGTAGTCCATCCCGGGAGTGATCTTGGAGCGGTGACTACTTTACAACACACACAGGGACCATGGGGAACAGACGTAGCCCCCCTCCAGAAGGAAGGACGGTGTCAGAGATGATTGGAGGATCTCCAGACGAGTGACACACAAATAAGATACATTGTTGTTCAGGGACTCGGATGGATTATTATGATTTCATTCCAGAGTTTAGTGTCAGTTTAAGGACTGGTAATGATTTTATGATGGCTGATAACATAACGCTGACACTGTAGTTATAACACTATATACAGAGCGGGCTCATTGTGCATGTGTGTGGATTGGGTCTGTTCAGTGCTGGGGATCAACAAGATAAACGGATGCAGATCTCGGCACATTTTCATTATAGATTTTTCACTCTCTTCTTTCTTGTGTTAGACGGCCACCTGAACCCGGAAGTGGTGAAGTACCGCCAGCTGTGTCTGAAGTCCCAGTACAAGCGATATGTCGGCTCACAACAGCAATATTTCCACACTCTGCTCAAACAGATCCTGGCCTCCCGGAAGGTGAGTGTAAGCTCAGATAGGACATACATGAAAGGGGTCCCCTGGCCTCCCGGAAGGTGAGTGTAAGCTCAGATAGGACATACATGAGAGGGGCCTCCTGGAAGGTGAGTGCAAGCTCAGATAGGACATACATGAAAGGGGTCCCCTGGCCTCCTGGAAGGTGGGTGTGAGCTCAGATAGGACATACATGAAAGGGGTCCCCTGGCCTCCTGTAAGGTGAGTGCAAGCTCAGATAGGACATACATGAGAGGGGCCTCCTGGAAGGTGGGTGTGAGCTCAGATAGGACATACATGAGAGGGGTCCCCTGGCCTCCTGGAAGGTGAGTGTAAGCTCAGATAGGACATACATGAGAGTGGTCCCCTGGCCTCCTGGAAGGTGAGGGTAAGCTCAGATAGGACATACATGAAAGGGGTCCCCTGGCTTCCTGGAAGGTGAGTGTAAGCTCAGATAGGACATACATGAAAGGGGTCCCCTGGCCTCCTGGAAGGTGAGTGTAAGCTCAGATAGGACATACATGAAAGGGGTCCCCTGGCCTCCGGGAAGGTGGGCGTGAGCTCAGATAGGACATACATGAGAGGGGTCCCCTGGCTTCCTGGTAGGTGAGCGTGAGCTAAGATGGAGCATACATGAGAGGGGTCCCCTGGCTTCCTGGTAGGTGAGCGTGAGCTAAGATGGAGCATACATGAGAGGGGTCCACTGGCTTCCTGGAAGGTGAGCGTGAGCTAAGATGGGGCATACATGAGAGGGGTCCCCTGGCCTTCTGGAAAGTGGGTGTGAACTTAGATGGGGCAAACAGTAGAGGTATCTCTGGCCTTCCAGAATGTGTCAGAGCTCAGATACAAGGAGAGACATGAGGGGGATCTCTGGCCTCCAGGAAGGTGAGTGTGAGCTCAGATAGGACATACATGAGAGAGGTCTCCTGGTAGGTGAGTGTGAGCTCAGATAGGACATACATGAGAGGGGTCTCCTGGTAGGTGAGCTCAGCTATGACATACATGAGAGGGGTCTCCTGGTAGGTGAGCTCAGCTAGGACATACATGAGAGGGGTCTCCTGGTAGGTGAGTGTGAGCTCAGCTAGGACATACATGAGAGGGGTCTCCTGTTAGGTGAGTGTGAGCTCAGATAGGACATACATGAGAGCGGTCTCCTGGTAGGTGAGCTCAGCTATGACATACATGAGAGGGGTCTCCTGGTAGGTGAGCTCAGATAGGACATACATGAGAGGGGTCTCCTGGTAGGTGAGCTCAGATAGGACATACATGAGAGGGGTCTCCTGGTAGGTGAGCTCAGATAGGACATACATGAGAGGGGTCTCCTGGTAGGTGAGCTCAGATAGGACATACATGAGAGGGGTCTCCTGGTAGGTGAGCGTGATCACATAGGGGAGATGCATGAGAGGGATCTGCCATCCACACAGGAGAACAACCCGCAGTGACTATTCCAGGGCAGGTTTAGGGCGCAATGTCTGCTCGATCCCACTGCAATCCAGGCCGATAGCCAATTGTGTCAATGTACTATTGACACAATAATGTCAACAGTACATTCCTCAACACTGACTTCAATGTAAGTCCTCGTTATGTCACCTTTCCATCCCCGGCTTGTTGCCTGATGTTCCTGTCACTATGCTCCTTTCTTCAGCATTTCCTTTGGAGGATTGACAACGCTCAAAAAGTATTTCCCCTCCCCATGGGTCAGCGGGGTGATGCAGTCACACCAGTGATTCATGTCTTCTGCACCCTCAGATGAGTGCTAGTTCTAGCATTGCTCCTCCTCTCAGTGACATGTGCATAGTAAGCGCTCACCCACCAGCCCCGCAGCAAGAGAACAAAGTGAAGGCTGCGCAGCCATGACCGCATTACCGGAACATTTTAGGAAAATGCGCGGGTAGATTTTTTTTTTTTATACTGATGCCCTCATTTCTTTCAGTTCTACTTTTATAACAAATGTCTACAATTTTGGGGGTGACGTCTGATGGTCAGTTCAGGTGATAGTGTTGCAGTTGTGCGCTCGTGGGGTCTCCGTCCTTCCCTGGTTTATACATTTTATATTCGACATGCAGGAGCTGTTGGACCTCGCCAGAAACAACGGCCCAGACCTGCTGACAAAGAGGAAGCCCACTTCTCCGCGGAACACAGAAGAGGAGCGTGAGAGGCGAGCACAGCGACGGTACCTGAAGATCCTGCGAGAGGTGAAGGAGGAGTGTGGGGATGGTACGCTGTCCTCAGAGGAGGAAGGTAAGAATCTGGCTCTGGAAGTTTGTCTGTCAGGAGGTTCTGTGGTCTGTGTGTGTAGTTTGTGCTTCTTATGAAATTATGTTTTATCTTTAGACCTGACCTCCTGGCTCCCCGGATCACCCACCAGTTCTCCTGGTGCCAGCGTACCTCTCCGCTCCATCCCCACTCTGTCCACACAGGACATGAAAACTGCAGGTAAGCCCTTCCCTGTTGCCATGGTATGTCATCATTTACTGTCCTTATGCGGGGGACCTGCACTGTGATGGCTATGCCTAGAAAATGTAGCTGATCTTTTCTCCATTACTGACTTACTACAGCTTGTTCTGCACCGTGCCTCTGTGTGGAGGCGGCCATCTTGATAAAGGAGCAGGGCTTTGCTTCCTCCCCCCCTGGTGACTGGTGGGGTAATGATAGCGGTGGAGGAAGCACAGATCACCAGAATGGAAGCAGCATAAGCAGGGAGATCCTTGTGCTGTTGGTATTCAGATACAGCTTTCTCTGCAGCAAGGAGAACAGTGAGCAGCAGAGTAGTGAAATCACCAAATCTGACTGACTGTAGGGGGAGGGAAGGACGGGGGTCAGCTAGGAGACTGTAGGGAAGGACGGGGGTCAGCTAGGAGACTGGGGAAGGACGGAGGTCAGCTAGGAGACTGTGGGGAAGGACGGAGGTCAGCTAGGAGACTGGGGAAGGACGGAGGTCAGCTAGGAGACTGTAGGGAAGGACGGAGGTCAGCTAGGAGACTGTAGGGAAGGACGGAGGTCAGCTAGGAAACTGTAGGGAAGGACGGAGGTCAGCTAGGAGACTGTAGAGAAGGACGGGGGTCACATATAAGAATGAAGGGAAGGACGGGGGTCACATATAAGAATGAAGGGAAGGACGGAGGTCACATATAAGAATGAATGGAAGGACGGAGGTCACATATAAGAATGAAGGGAAGGACGGGGGTCACATATAATAATGAAGGGAAGGATGGGGGTCAGATTTAATAATTGTCAGCGCAGAAATGCGACACGTCTGTAATTTTGTAACATCAATCTTTTCATTGTAGATAAAGTTGATCTGACGGAGCGCGAGTTGAAGGTGATGCTCCGGAGACATCGAGAGAAGCGGAAGCTTCAGCCGGTGAGTGTGGATGGCTTCATGTTGTATTTAGTGATAGATCCAGATTCAGGTCCACGGACAGAACTAGAGGAAGGTGAAGTGATAATCCGGGTAGGAAGATACGTTTCCAGATCAGAGCCGTTCTGAAGTCCTACATCTGCTTTCCATCCTCTTGTACAATAAAACTATAATGACAATGTTGCAATTTTATTGGGAAACGGAGCTGAATAATGAGAATAAACGGGAAAACTCAAAAACATGACGAGACGCAGAGAGAGGAACACAAAATGTATATATGTATATCCAGATACAATCCACAGCGTACGTCAAGGGGAACATTGGGGAATAGACGAGGATCTAGGAAGGGGAGGACAAAGGACAGAATATTGTCCCTAAGAAGCTGAAGATGAACGTTGATATGACATTAGCCATTTAGGCCTCATTCACACAGGAATCGGCTCGCACGTACAGCTCCCTGCTGCGTGCACGGCTGTACCGGGCAGCTCCCGGGAAGGATAGGTGCTGTGTGTGATTAGTATGCAGCCCCCGTCCTTCTCTATGGGAGTATGCGACCGTACACCCCCCTACACTCACCCGCCCTGCACGTCCGGCGGGTGCGGGTGAGTGTACTCGTACGCTGACAGGTTGGATCCTGTCTGCGTCCGAGCCAGGAAAAACGCACCCCTACGGACCTGCACTTGAGGTGAGCGTAGGGTGGGGGGGCGCACGGCCGCGTAGTCCCATAAAGAAGGACGGGGGCTGCGTACTAATAACACGCAGCACCAGTCCTTCCCAGGGGCTGCTCGGTACGGCCGTGCATGCAGCGCAGAGCTGTACGTGCGAGCCGATTCCTGTGTGAATGAGCGCTAATAGTGTCATCATAAGTAATTCCAGGATACAGTAGCTGTTTACAACCAACCAATCACAGTGCAGCTGTCATTTTTTAGTGCTCTTTGGGAAGCGGTGAATAGGTTGGGTATCTCTGGTTGCTGAATCTTCTCATTCTCCTGTAGGATCACCCCGATCTGATGACGGAAGAGATCACCACGAATGACGTAATGACTCGGGTCAACGCTGGCCGCAAGGGATCTCTGACAGGTAAGCGACGCTGACTCCGTCCAGGTCTGCGTGTTCTCATCGTGATTCTGAAAGGGCTCTGCTACCTAAACTGGCCGAGATCTTCCAGATGGAAGGTGACTTATACAGACCAGAAACAAACACAAATTGTTCCGCTGTCTTTTTTTAAAGGAGAACTATGAGGGGAGTGATTTTCACTCCTCATATTTTGAGCCGACGTGTGACAATGAAACTGTCACACGTCGGCTCAATAGATCGGGATGTGAGTGAACACATACCGTCGTTCGTTCACTTCTCGATCATCTCCCTGCAGAGAGCCGTGACTGTCAGTCCCCGCTAACCCCCCTCCCCTCCCTGTCCGATCCTCCAGCGCTGACTGGAGGAAAGAACGTGGAGGGGGCAGGTACAGCTGGCTCTGCCTCTAGATAGGCGGAGCCAGCTGTCAGTCACGCAGCTGGGCGGATCCCGTCATCTAAGTCGGGATCCGCTCCGGCGTCTCAGTATACCGCGAGCTTTAGCTCCCTATATACTGAGCCTAGGGTGACGGGAGGACGCTAGTTTGTGTCCTTCCGTTACCCTAAGGAGAACTATGGGAGAAAAACACTGACCCCCTAGTTCTCCTTTAATTTCTCATGAGGAACATTTGGGGGCTGCAATTGCTGTCCCTCTTTTGAAAATGCTCTTTGCCTGGCTGTGTCTGGCTTCTTTTCTCCATGACAGGGTTACTTTATATAGAATGTCCGGTGAACTGCTGGCTCCATCTCAGAATTGCTGCATTTGTGATAATGTGAGGCAATCTGATCGTTAGAGTCTCATTTATTTGGGCGGAGCCAGATTCAACAGTCTCCTCACATGTCTCCTGGGTGAGAGCACAACCTCTTGTCACATGATTCTGTGCTGCTTAACATACCCCTCCAAGGTGTGCGTAGGTGGGGCTTGTCCTGGGTGGGGGTGTGCTGTTCAACATTCTCTTCCTCCACTGTGGGCGGGGCACATTATGATGCTCCCCCTGGGGGGATGTGTAAACGGCAGGCTGGGGTCACAGGAATTAGGAAGAATACCAGGGTAATTCTGCCTGAAGAGGACCACGGGCGCTGTAGTTTAGGACAGCGCTGTTACCTAGAGAGTTTAGGTAGCTATTGTAATTTTTGGGTCGTCAGTGGGTCCTCTGCTGGTTGTTCCCCGGCTGGAGGGTGGGCCATCGGTTTTTTTGGCGGTCGGTGGTAGCTGTAGACTAAAGTTGATTGGTGATTAGAGGGACTGCTCATCAATTGATTAGCTGAGATGTCGGTGGGACAGATGGCGATTTGTCTAGCTCTTCATGCTCTGAACTGTCACTGGTATCTTGCAGCACTTTATGACTTGGCCACAATGAAGAGACGGGTGAAGGAGCAGGACGAGCGGAAGAAAAAGAAGATGAAGCCAATAAAGACGGAGCCGGAGGATTTCCCGGATGCACCTGAAGAAGCGGAGATCATGCCGGCACTGCTTCCCTCTGACTCCCTCAACCTGACCTCCGTGAAGGAAGAGTGAGTCCAACCGGGATGTACAATTCATCCTCTTTACATGGAGGGGAACTTATCAAAACTGGAGCAGACAAAATCTGGAGCAGTTGCCCACGGCAACCAATCAACTTCTCTCTTTAGTTTGTTCAGTGAAGATTTGAAAATGAAAGAGAGAAGCTGATTGGTTGCCGTGCACAGCTGCTCCCTATTTTGCCTGCTCCAATATTGATAAATTCCCCTCAATGTGTTTATTGGAGTCTTATTTGTATAATGTATTTATCAATTTTATTTCCTCCTCACCATAACCCGTACGGTTACTCTGTCTCGCTGGGTCCTCTATAGAAGTCATGGTCTCCATATACTGCACTGATGATGGACAAAATGCCTGAAACATCTGTGTGCAGTTTGGAATAAATGGCCGTATAATATTCCGCTATATTAAACTATACACCGGAGGATTGGAATGTATATCTGGCTGATGGGGTGTAAAGGAATGATTTGCCCCACCCACGCTCCTGAAATATATATACATGTGTGTATTGCTGTTTTTTCTGACATTTCCTCTCTTCTCATGCAGGCCCATGGAGGATGTGAAGCCACCATTGCCTTTCAATGAGATTTCAGCCAGTTTCTTCAGTCTCCTGCTGGATATATTGGTGGTGGAGGGGCCGTCTAATCTCATTCTGGTAAGTGGAGGACTCTGTAGGTGACAGAGGGGGATCTGTTGTGTGTCTGTTTGTGTGTCTCTGAGGGCTCTGTGTGTGTCTCTGAGGGCTCCGTGTGTCTCAGAAGACTCTGCGTGTGTCTCTGAGGGCTCCGTGTGTGTCTCTGAGGGCTCCGTGTGTGTCTCTTGAGGGCTCCGTGTGTGTCTCTTGAGGGCTCCGTGTGTGTCTCTTGAGGGCTCCGTGTGTGTCTCTTGAGGGCTCCGTGTGTGTCTCTTGAGGGCTCCGTGTGTGTCTCTTGAGGGCTCCGTGTGTGTCTCTTGAGGGCTCCGTGTGTGTCTCTTGAGGGCTCCGTGTGTGTCTCTTGAGGGCTCCGTGTGTGTCTCTTGAGGGCTCCGTGTGTGTCTCTTGAGGGCTCCGTGTGTGTCTCTTGAGGGCTCCGTGTGTGTCTCTTGAGGGCTCCGTGTGTGTCTCTTGAGGGCTCCGTGTGTGTCTCTTGAGGGCTCCGTGTGTGTCTCTTGAGGGCTCCGTGTGTGTCTCTTGAGGGCTCCGTGTGTGTCTCTTGAGGGCTCCGTGTGTGTCTCTTGAGGGCTCCGTGTGTGTCTCTTGAGGGCTCCGTGTGTGTCTCTTGAGGGCTCCGTGTGTGTCTCTTGAGGGCTCCGTGTGTGCCTCTTGAGGGCTCCGTGTGTGCCTCTTGAGGGCTCCGTGTGTGCCCCTTGAGGGCTCCGTGTGTGCCCCTTGAGGGCTCCGTGTGTGCCCCTTGAGGGCTCCGTGTGTGCCCCTTGAGGGCTCCGTGTGTGCCCCTTGAGGGCTCCGTGTGTGCCCCTTGAGGGCTCCGTGTGTGCCCCTTGAGGGCTCCGTGTGTGCCCCTTGAGGGCTCCGTGTGTGTCTCTTGAGGGCTCCGTGTGTGTCTCTGCGGGCTCCGTGTGTGTGACTTTGTGTCCTCAATCTCTTTTTTTCTATTTTTTACGGGAAATATCAGGGCTCTGTTTTAGATCCCAAATATTTCCAATATTTCCCTGAAGTCCCTAAAAGTAAAGTAAAAAATTAAAATATTAAATAAAAAATGAATAAATGAAAATAAATATTACAAAATGTAAAAATTTATAAAAATGTTTAAAAAAAGTTAAAATAAACATTTTTGGTTTCGACATTTTCATTTGGGTGCACCTCTTGTATTAACTCCTTAATACCAGCCATACACGTGTGGCAGCAAGGTGGTGGGCTTTAATCTGTACTGCCCCATGTGTCTATATTTTCTGCTAAATCACTCCCGGTGCTGTGACCCGTGATGTCATCGATTTGCTCCCATTCATATAGTGACGGTGAGCAGCTGGTAGGACGGGCTCACGATGTGACACTGTGACCGCCAATCACGTGATCCGGAAGCCCTTGTAGCGCCTCCGAGACGGAATTACACAAGAAAGACTTGTACCATATTTCAGACTTATTTTTTAATATGGGAAAGCTGCAATAAATTAAAAGGCTGTACTTATTTTTTTATTTTATTATTGAGATAATTAGATAATTATCATCACCTGCCTATGTCTGTCGAAGTTAAAGAGGCCCTGTCACCAGAATGTTCATTGCAGCAGAAATATTCCCATTGTGCAGACATTCAAAAGACCTGAGACTGCTGCTGGCCACCGCCATCTTGGATGTGATGTCAGCAGACTCAGAACGGTCACTCTTTGCTCCTCTCCCTGCCATCTACATAAAAGGTTATGTATGGAGGGGTGAAGCAGCTGGGCCAGCACAGACCGTAATCAGACACTTCCAGAAGAGGAGAGGGCAATGACATGCATGGAAATACAGTACTGCAAATAAACATGTCAAATACCTAATGTGTCTGTCTTCTACCAACAGTTTTGATAAGGTGGCGACAGGGCCTCAAAGTCCAACATAAAGTTATGCCTTACGCTGCCTTGGCCATAGCTTTGACTATGACTAAGGCAGGAAGGTGTCAGAGGTTGTTCTTTGTATAGATGCATGTGGAATAAAGTTTGGATTTCTTTGAAGGATCATCGTGTGCTGGTGATACAGTTTTTGAGTATATCTTGATAAAAGTATGGGGAAACACTGGGGGGCCCTTAGGTAGGCTGCACGGGGCCCCATGATTTCTAATGACTGCCCTGATTACAATGGGGAAACGCCTTGAATCCCTTCTCCGTCTGTGCTCTGTAGTTCTGCGTTGTTTGTAGTTCGGCGTATCTTGCTCTCCTCTCTCCCGTATTCTGTCATTTGTCGTCATTTCCTCTCTCTGATATTTCAGCTGGAAGAGAAGATTTCCCTGTGGCAGGTCTCCCCCGCCAGCACCCTGAACAGCTGGTACTCCACCGCCACCAACTGGTGCGACTTGGTCCACTCGGCCCTCCTGTATCTCAGCGGAGACAGCAAAGGTGAGTGTGAGCTCTGCTGTCAAATATGGAATACTCGGGCCCTATATAGGAATATATATATAGAGATATGGAATACTCGGGCCGTATATAGAGATATGGAATACTCGGGCCGTATATAGGAATATATAGGAATATGGAATACTCGGCCCGTATATAGGAATATATAGAGATATGGAATACTCGGGCCGTATATAGGTATATATAGAGATATGGAAAACTCGGCCGTATATAGGAATATATAGAGATATGGAATACTCGGCCCGTATATAGGAATATATAGAGATATGGATTACTCGTGCCGTATATAGGAATATATAGAGATATGGAATACTCGGGCCGTATATAGGAATATATATATAGAGATATGGAATACTCGGGCCGTATATAGGAATATATAGAGATATGGAATACTCGGGCCGTATATAGGAATATATAGGAATATGGAATACTCGTGCTGCATATAGGAATATATAGAGATATGGAATACTCGGGCCGTATATAGGAATATGGAATACTCGGGCCGCATATAGTAATATACAGAGATATGGAATACTCGTGCCGTATATAGGAAGAGAGAGAGAGAGAGAGAACACACACACACAATGTAAAGGAATATTTAGGATTATGGAGATTCCTCGGTGTTGCTGTTGTCAATCCTTCACATGTGATTATAGTGTCCGCACTCCGGCAGGTCTGTAGTTTTGGGGTTTCATCACACTCTTTGGTCACTTTTTTTCAGGCGCTCTGTCGGGTATGTCCCCCTATGTGGAGTTTCGGGAGAAGACTCAGCAGTGGAAGTGTCTCGGTGAGTACTCGCACCCTCTTCAGTCCCTTCTTCTGGATCTACAACTGCCGGACTATTAAATGTCGTCATTTATTCCCCACAGCGCCCCCTGCTGACAATGAGAAGGATTTGGTCGCCCTCTTCCACCTCTGGCTGGAGACCAAGGATCACATATTCAGCAAGGTGAGGGCGCTCCTTGGGTGCGCCATATTCAGCAAGGTGAGGGCGCTCCTTGGGTGCACCATATTCAGCAAGGTGAGGGCGCTCCTTGGGTGCACCCGACTCAGGGATTCCTCTCTGAACCTCTCTGTAGGAAGGGTGTCTGTGCAGTCTATAGCAACCAACCAGATTCCAGCTGTCATATTTTGGTGCAGGGGGTGGGGGAAGGAGGATTGCCTCACCACTCTCCAACCACTTGCATCTTAACCTCCCTGGCGGTAATCCCGAGTGTGGCTCGGGGTTAATTTTAATTACCAAAAGCGGTACCCCCCGAGCCACACTCGGGATTACACAGCGCGTTACTTACCTTGTCCACGATCCCCGCTGTGTCCTCCGGCCCGATTCCGTGTTCCGTCCCTTGCGAGCGTCCGTGTCGCAGGGGGGCGGAACCGGCCGGAAATTTAAAAGTAAAAAAAAATAGAAACAAAAGAAAGAAAAAGGAAATAATCAGACCGCCAGGGAGGGTAAATTAGACATTTTAGAAGGCTCTTCACATACATGAGCAGCCCATCCAAAGTCACTGTACTCCTCCTCCATGTACTTCCTTAGATCAGCTCCTCCGCACATTCCCATCATCAGGGTAGAGTGAGAACCTGTATGACGGCCTTCCGGGGTTCACTTCCCTCTCCTACACTTTTTAAATCCTGTATGTGTAAGCCCTCAGGGGCAGGGCCCTCCTTACCATCTTGTCTTGAATTGTATTGTGATTGTAATGTCTTCCCTATATTGTACAGCGCTGCGCAAACTGTTGGCGCTATATAAATCCTGTATAATAATAATAATGTGGATGAAGGACAACGAAGGCTACACTTTCAATTACAAACATATACCCATCAGATTCCGTTCTCTCCGGAATAGTCAGTCCCGCCCCTGAAGATCTTTAAAGGAGAACTATGAGGGGGGTGATTTCCACTCACCTCATAGTTCTAGCCGACCTGTGACAATGAGACTGTCACAGGTCGGCTCAGTAGATCGGGAGGTGAGAGAACACATACCGGCGTTCGCTCACTTCTCGATCCTGTCACGGCGCTCTGCCGTGACAGGGGAGGGGCTGGATTCCCCTCTCCCCGCTCCGATCCGCCAGCGCTGACTGGGGGAGGGGGCGGGTACAGCTGGCTCTGCCTCTAGATAGGCAGAGCCAGCTGTCACTCACGCAGCTGAACGGATCCAGACATCAATGTCGATCCGCTCCGGCTGCGGCGTCTCAGTATACCCGAGCTGTAGCTCCCTATATACTGAGCCTAGGGTGATGGGAGGACGCTAGTTTGTGTCCTCCCGTTACCCTAAGGAGAACTACGGGGAAAAGCCCTGACCTCATAGTTCTCCTTTAAACATTCGTGTTTCTCCTTCTCATTTTGGTTGCCCTCAAGCTCCGCAGCAGCACCAATAGAGGGGATTACAGCTTCAATCCCCGCCTCACCTCCCGTATATCGGGCAGGATCTCCATACAGTCCCGGAGTATAACACAAAAATAAAACCAGCACGGTACGGCTGCGGGTTATGTAAAAACAATCTTGTATGATGGGTCTGGCATGCCAGATATGTTTCCTCCATTGTTTGAATCAGAGACATAGCGCTGGCTAAATAGTGACTTACCTAGGATAGCTTAAAGACTGATCCCTACTGATCTCCCCTCCCCAACCCCCACTGCTAGGGTTAAATGCTCATTTTTGTCTGGGTGTTAAAAAAATGGTATACTCACCTGATCCTTGGAGCCGGCTTGCTCTTAGACCAATCCCTGGAACCTCTTCCAACCCGTCTGTATCCCCCCCCAATCCCTGGAACCTCTTCCAACCCGTCTGT